CTATATGAGGTAAAGATCAATGAAAGTTGAAATGTAACTGCCTGCTCGGAGAGTGCCAACCCCCAAGCCAAGAATTTTCCCATTGCCTATTTTGTGCGTTTCTTTCCTATATCAGGGCTGGATCCCACAACTGGAGATTTGCGCGGTAAGCACACAGTTTTGTTTGTTGTCTTGTATACATTTTCTCTGTAAATAGTTGTTTGCAATGTATTTGGAAGAGGATGTGTTGAAATATAGAAGTTGATTCTGTTGCCAGCTCTTTGGGTTAGTAAACATGTACATTTCATCTTTGTGTATCGTTGAAGTATACTAAATTAATAATCATTTAATTCCCATAAGAATGTTTTGATAAAAAGCGTTTTTGAAAATACAAATTTTGTGTGCACAAGAGGAGTATCAGTGGTAAAATGCTAACATTTCCATATCTATTTTTATTTTTTATATATATATATATATAGGCTATATATATATAGGCTATATATAGGTGTATATATTTTTTTCCTGTGATCTCAATTTATTTTAACCTGTAGCTTTAAACAAAATTAAAAGGCTTAACCCTGGAATTATGCAACAGCTGACAGACCTTTAGCCATGTTAAGCATTTATTGATTATTCGACAATCTGTGAATTTAAAAATAATCCACCTGAAATTGGGGCTGTTAATCAGTTCACGTCTATATTTGTAATTTATTGCCAGATTTTAATGCCAGTTGCTGGATTATGGATTTCTGTGCAAGTGAGGAAGACCTACAGGAATTATTTTGAAAATATTTTCTGTCATCAATAAATGATATGTGTGAGGGTGCTTCTTGTGTTAACATCTTAACAATAGATCCCAAAATTTGTATTTATGGATGTAATGTGTATTTTATCCATAATAATATGTAAAACTTAAGAGTACCTTTGAACAAATGACCAGTGATCAATGAAAAAAAAAATCCAAATACTTTGTTGTTCTGTTCTTTGGTTTTTAGACAATCTTTTAGAACATGAACTTGTGTTTTCTGGCATTCCTCCTCCTCTGTTATGCCAAGCAAGGCTGGACGGTAAAGCACTCAACAGATCTTATTTTATTTTTTATTTTAAAATTATTTTTTTCCAATGAAATGCCATGAATTGCTCCTTTTCACTGCAGGAAGATGCGATTGAACCAGAGGATGGAAGGGATCCTGTAATTCCTCTCATCCCACTGATGCCAAGTAAACCCATATCAGTAAGAACCCACAATGCTCAGTGCTCATCCTTAAGGGTATACACATGTTTAGACATTTGACACTCCAATCGCATTGTCCCCTTTTAGGATTTGAAAGGCACTCTTGACCCCACCGTAACAGAAGCACACACGGGTACTCCAGATGGCCTGGAAGCAGATCCTTCAGCCACGGTTCCCTCGAAAGAGGGCTCCTCTGAGGAGGACCTTGATTCGCTCTGTGATGGGGAAATGTCTAGCCAACAGATTAAATGGACCATAGGCAATGGCATTATGAAGCTTGGCCTTTGGTTCCTGGAAAACCTGAAGCCTAGTCCTGAGCAGCCCAATCTCATCATTTCCCCTCTTAGCTTGTCCGTTGCACTCTCACAGCTAGAGCTGGGTAAGTTTGAAATTTACAATAAAAACAAAAAACTCATAGAATAGCAAAATGTTTTGGTTTCTGTTCTGTTTTTGCATGCATACATATTAAAAACACTGAGACAATCTTGTTGTTTATTTGAATCTCAGGAGCAACAAATGAGACGGAAGAGCTGCTTCTACACCACCTGCATGCAGACGCACTGCCCTGCTACCACACTGCACTCAGTAGCCTCCTGCGCAACTTCCGCAAAAGGAGCCTGTCATTCGCCAGCCGCATCTATCTGCAAACTGGTGAGAGACACGCACATGTAGCTTACACAAAACATATACATTGTCAGCAATTGCATGCAGGTCTATACAGTGGCCCCCAAAAGTTTTTGTGTGTGTATATTTAGGTCACTTAAAATCATGTGTATTATGCATTATTAGTGCATTTATGAAGTAATTTCTCCTGAAGTTCACACATTTACATATTTAATATGTACATTCAAGATATATTAATTTATTTAAAACTAGATTGAAAAGTCTATAAACCAATTTTGATGTTGGCTTGAGAAAGCCAGAAAGTTTAAAATAGTTTTAACAGCTTTAAGTTTGAAGGTTTTAAGTTTGAAATAGTTTTAAGTTTTAGTTTAGTAGTTTTAAAAGCTAAAAAGATAGATAGTTAAAAAATGAATCGTATTTTAAACCATGGACATATGGAAAACTTGAGTCCTGAGCAGCCCAATGTCATAATTTAGCTTGTCAAATCTTAGCAAATAGGTTATTTGATTTTTTTTCCCCATTTGTTAGGATTGGGCATTTTTTGGGGGACTGAATCTTAGTTGATATTTGAGGAACAATTAATTACTATGCAAAGCTATGAATGTTTTTTCTTTTCTTCCCCTCAGGATTTAAAGCAAAACAGGAGTTCATGGAAGATTCTCAGAAACTGTATGACTCAGAGCCGGCCACTTTGACTGATGTTAATGAGATCAATGAATGGGTTAAGAAAGCCACAAATGGGCACATCTCAGAGTTTCTGTCCAGTGTTCCTCCCAGCACTGTTATGATGCTGATCAATGCTATGCACTACAAAGGTCAGAACAAACACCTGTTACCAGCAAGTATTTAGCAATTTCCTCTTGTGCTTCAGTGAGTCACATCAGAGGTTTCACATTACTCAGATCCGTTGCATTATCGTTCCCTTGTTATTTCACAAGTGTAAATCAAAAAAGGACCATATAATCCAAGTCTTATTTTCTCTCTGACAGGAGAGTGGCTCACCCGCTTTGACCCTCATTTCACCTCAACTGAGCTCTTCTACATAGATGAAAACCAGATTGTTAATGTGGACATGATGCTTGGGCCAAAGTATCCTCTCAGCGTTTTCACCCACCATGAGCTGGATGCCCAGGTTACTGCCTTTAAGATGCTACTTCATAAATAGCACTGATTAAATCTCTTTTCCTCACCTTTTCTTCCGCTTTGACCTCTGCAGGTTGCTCGATTCCCCTTTAAAGGCGACAGGAGTCTACTAGTGGTAATGCCAACATCTGGACATGTGAATGTGTCAGCCATTGCAGCTAAGCTCAATATCTCAGATCTGTATATTCGATTACCACGAGAAAGAAACATGCAAGTCAAACTCCCAAAATTCAAACTTGATTTCAACCAGGACCTCCAAGAGGCCATGACAAGCATGGGTAAGATGTCTTGAATCCAGTGCATGCACATTATGACTCGTTAGTGGCAAATATAGTTTAACCAGCTATGAGCATCTATACTATCTACTGTATTTTCAGTTACCTCATGATCAAGGAGATCACTTTGGATTCACAGTCATTTTAATATTTCTTCCATTTATGTGTGCTAACAAATATATTATTCTACTGTCCAGGTCTAGGAATGCTATTTAGTCACCCGAAGCTGGACCGCATCTCAGAGGGCCCCTTGTTTGTGTCCAGTGTGCAGCATATGTCCAGTATTGAGATAAACGAAGAAGGGGCAGAGGCAGCGGCAGCAACAAGTGTGGTCATCTCACGTTCCAACCCTTCATTTACTGTCAATCAGCCATTTTTCTTTGCCCTAATGGATGACTTGAGTCAAACGCCATTTTTTCTGGGAGTAATTTCCAACCCAAACCCTGGAGCATCCACTGTGGTCACAAACCCTGGAAATTCAGATAAAACTAATGACAAGCCAGTATCTTTTGAAGTTCATCCAAAGTAGTTTTCATACTTTTAGCAGAATGAGTCCATAAGTGATTGTTGACTGCATAGTTGGTCCCCACTGGGAAGCAAATTAAGGACATATTTTGTAAAAGTACATTGAGGTCTATAAGATAATTTGAAATTACTCCCCCTATGTGAATTAATGTTGTTATGAATGTCCTTGCTAATCTTGTTAAAAAGTCATGATTTTTTTAAATTAAAGACATTTTAACAGAAATTCCTAAGTGCCTCATAAGTGTATTTATTTAAAGGGTTAATAGTTCTCCCAAAAATGAAAATTGTTTACTCACTCTTATGTTATTGAAAACCTTATCATTTTGATTTTATTTTATTTTAGTGAAATATTGCCTTGTTTCAGGTACGATAACATAACAATCTGTTCTACTAACAGAGAAATCACATTTCAGCATTTTATGCGATTTTACAAACGTGCTTCAGATTATTACTATTTTTTTATAAATACTGGTAAAAATGTACTGCACACAATTCAATAATCAACTGTTTTTGATCAATTAAATTGTATTTGTCACATGACTGAACACAAAGTAGGTTTGTTGAGTGTCAGTTTTATAGTATGCTGCAGGGGAAACAACATTCTTTTAAATTCAAATGAATTTTTTTTTAATTATAATACATCATATGATTTATCACAGTTATCCGCTTTAAACAGAGCACATTGTGGACTGGAAAAAAAGAAACGATTGTGCATTTGTTATATCATTATTTTGAAAGGATGTAGAAACCTATTTTAACATAAAACTGGGGTGTATGAAATGTATGTTTTTGATATGCTTTTTTATTTTCAGAACGACATTTTGGAATGTAAAAAACCTGCAATTATTTAGTTTATTAAGAAAATACCAAACTGTACATGGCTCTTATTTTTAAATTAAATTATACATAAATATTTTGATACAACAAAAAGAGGGAGCTAATGTCTGGCAGTTAATGTTGTCAATAATGTGACTGTGAATTGCTCTTGTGGCATTGAATACAACTGTTTGTTACAAAATTTGTTTTAAATAAAAAAACATTAGCCACATTAAATAGTTCACAACCTCAAAACACACTTATTAAAATATTTTTCAGACTCGCAAAACTTACTGAATCAAAAAAGGAATAAAACTAGTCCGCTTCAAGAAACATTAGGCTCGTCTGTTATATTTATTTTTGACGTTTAGCGGAAGTAGATCGAAACGGGAAACGCGTCATCGCGAGTCGCACTTTCGCGCGTTTGGTGTGAGTTGGCGCGAGGATACAGGAAAGTGCTGAGGACCAGAGACGGTTGTGATCTTTTGTCAATACAACATTTAATCTTTCGTTCGCCATATTTTTGTGAAAACATGACTGTTAGACTGTCAGAAGGGGCAATTGAGGTAAGAATAAGACCGCAGCATTATTTCAACCGTTGCAGACCAAAGCTTGCTAAGTGAGTTAGCCAGCAAGATTTTCTTCGGTTTCGGACTGTGACAGTGAGATAACAACTTTTACCATTGCCTTCTGTTTATTCTACTCACCCTTTTCGATAATTATATGTGTGAACTGTAACAAGGTTAAATTCGAGGATGAAACGTGTCGACGCAATGCAGAGACCCAAGAGTTTTTATATAACGTTAACGTTAATCCGTTAAATGCGATTGCAGCAGCGGATACTGAGCAGAACATATAACAACAGTCTCAGTCATTGTAGATGGAAAATGGTTCATCATGTGGTCGGGTTTCTTCCCCCGAGTTTTGAATGTGTGTGGAATAAGTCAGATATCTGAATTCACTAATATTGTTGATCTGATTTATATGAGAGTAAGTGTTGGATTGTGTACTTGTTTTTTCCCCCCAGTCCCTGACTAAAGGAGTTGAAGTCAGCAACCCTGTTCTTCAATGTGTGGTAACTGTCAATTCATTGCACACTGTTTACAAGTTATTAAAGTTATTTTGTTACATCACCTTATATTCTAGGGATGGTGACGTGAAGACCAATATTGTAGACAATGACAATTATCAGATTCTGTGATTTCTAAGGGGAATAAAATGTTAATGTATAAATTTAATTAAATTAATGCATAAAATAATGTATTTTAATAAGGTCTCATTTTTTAACATTAGTTAATGCATGTAACAATGAGCAATATATGAGCAATAATCTCAATATATGTTAGTTCAGTGCATTAACAAATGTTAACAGACACAACTTTTAATCTTAAAAAATGTTTAAGTAAATATTGAGATAAACATTAACTAAGATGAATAAATGCTGTAGAATAATTTTTAAATTTTAGTTCATGTTAACAAGTTAAACCTTAAAAAGTCTTGCCTTCTTTATCAGTGTTTTTAGTAATTTAATGTTTTTATTAGCTTCTGAAAGTTTACACTTGTGTTTCTTTAATACACCAGACCATTTATTTCCATTCTAGTTATCTTTAGTATTAGACTGTAAAATGTTGAATATTCTCTCCAGAACATCCGCAAGATTGATGGGGGAAATGGCCTATCCCGTTTCCGTCTCATGATGAGTGATGGGCTGCACACTATGTCCTGTAAGTTTGATCAAATTTGTGTATTTCATTTGGTGTCTGTCCTTAAAATACATAGTAATTTTCATGTGCAGCAGGAGCATGTTTTTTTGGATGTTGTCTTGAAACGTCTGTTTGCTTATTGATCATCAGCACCAAAGCCATATATTTCTCTAATACTTTTGTTGCATAAGCATTTAAATGTCCATGTTCGGTGCTTATGTGTTTGAAAGTTGAATGGTCTATTTGAGATAATTTGGATAAGCAGTGTGACTTTAAAGGTACGAGTAAGTGATATTTGTTAAAGTAGTCTTTTGCTCATGTCATTGGGATGTAAACCCCAGGTTTTCTAAAACATGCAAATATGAGAAAGGCAGTCCTAAACCATGTATTTTTTAATATTGTTTGTCCCCTGCATGCAGCATTCATGCTCTCCACACAGCTCAATCCCATGGCTGAGCAAAACCAGTTGGCCTCTAACTGTGTGTGTATGCTGAAAAGGAGCGTCACTAATGTTCTCAAGGATGGACGGTAAGCATTCGTCTCCAGGTCTTGATCTGATTTTTTTTTGTTTCTAACAGTTGTTGTTATTAGCAAATTTCTCTGTGGCTCTCTGCTTTGTTTACACTACTATTTAGAAGTTTGGGAGCAGTTAGATTTGTTTAATGTTTTTGTAAGAAGTCTCTTATGCTCACCAATGCAGCATTTATTTGATAAAAAATACAGTAAAACAATATTATGAAATATAGTAATAACTGTTTACTATTTTAAAATGTTTAAAAATGTAATTTATTCCTGATAGCAAAGCTGTATTTTCAGCATCATTACTCCAGTCTTCAGTGTCACATGATCCTTCAGAAATCATTCTAATATGATGATTTGCTGCTCAAGAAACATTTCTTACTATCAATGTTGAAAACAGTTGTGCTGCATAATATTTTGTGGAAATCTGGATGCATTTTTTTTTTCAGGATATTTTGAAGAATAGAAAGAAACAGTATTGATGTTAAATGGAAATCTTTTGTAACATTATGAATACCTTTGGGAAATTTAATGCATTCTTGCGCAATAAAAGTGTTAATTTCTATCAAAAAATCTTACTAACCTCAAACATTTGAACAGTAGTATATTTTCATTAATGCATATTATTGAGCTTTTGTGTTTGTTCTACACAGACGTGTGGTGGTTATACTGGACATGGAAGTACTCAAGTCTGCCGACCAGATGCCAGGAAAAATTGGAGACCCAACTCCTTATGTAGAGGGTGAGAGAGTACATTTGACCCATGTCAAATTTAATGGAAACTTCATTTTTTTTTTGCTCATATAAAGCAGACATCCTGGAGTCTCCCGCAAATTGATAGCGGCTCCCTGATGCTCGCAAATTATGTAGAATATCCCAGCAATCGAGTGAGGTGGTTTCAACCTGGTATTAATGTGTGTTTTCAGTAATCTGATCACAGGTGGTCAGTCAAGAGGCATTACCGTTTACACCTGGTATTATGCATTTCATTTGCGTCTCCTGTGACTAGGGCTATACCGGTTAACTTGACAACTGCCCCACCATGGTGGTAGAGCGCCAATTTTTATTTATTTATTATTTTTTTAAATGTTCTTTTACTTTGTGAAATTAAATGTTACATCACACACATGGAAACATCTGGATTTGTGCTGAGTGAGAGAGGTACACAAGGCCATAAGTTTAAGCCATTTGTCAGCTTTGTATTGTTTTGCAATCTGGTCACCTGATTTTCCAAAAAATTTGTTTAATTCATTAGTTAATCCACTGGACATGAAATCTCTTGTTTCTTTTCCCAAATCCTCACTCTCAAATCTCCCATTTCCGCAGTGGGTTATTAGTTTCTTCCTTTCGTTTACATTTAATTACGATATTCACATCCTTCACTGTAGAAAAAAGTAGAAAAAGGCTGTAGGACAGACCCTGTTTCTTGGATGTCAAATCTATATAGCACTGATTGTGCTTGTTAGACTTGATAAGGCATGTCAAGTTTATTTGTATAGCACATTTTATACGGTGCTGATTTGGTTTTGCTTTCTCTGACAGTGCAGCATCAAATATTGCCTAAATGTCTTGCACATGCGGAAGATGACATTTTCTTTTCAGACTTTTTTCAACAAGTGTCAGTGGCTTTGGAACATCGGGTTCCAAAGACATGAAGATATTAGACAAGAGATGATCTCTGTCCTGCTCGTGTCCCACATCCCTCTCAGAGCGCAGAGTGCTATATATGATTGACGACGCAGCTATCTTTGTGGGGAAATAAAAAACAAATGTTTTTTTTATTTAATAGTTAACTTTATTTTATTATTTGTGTTACCATTAGTTTAATGTCTGTAGTGTGTTGTTTCACTGACAGAAGTGCTAAAATAAACAAGTACGTTTGTAATGAAATGGATGTTTGAGACTATTTTATACACTCAATTTTGGTCTGTATATATCTCCCTGAAATTTTTGCAGGGTGGGATGTCTAGTAAACAGTTTCATTTGAGCATTGATGCATGTCTGTAACCTTGTCTAGAGGGATTTAATTTGATCAAATGTTTAATGTTCCTGGCATGTTTTTTTTTGTAGGTCAGTCGAGGGCACAACAGAGTACAGCTCCAGCTCCATCTCCATCTGTACGTCCATTACAGTCTCAGAATGGAAGTGATGGTAAAGAAATGAACACAAATATATATTTAATTTATTTAGTGTAGATGTTTGTTTAAAACCCCTCAAATGTTTACATTAACATACAGTGCTACTGAGCTGTAATGCATTAGCTGACTGCTGTGTTATGAAGTTCTGAATTGCTAAATTATCAGATTTTATATTATTATTATAGATTATAGCCATATAGTTACTAAAATATTTTAGTTGAAAGCTGACACATTTTCAAGATACACATAGGTGTACACAGTGCAGTGTTACGTAGTGATGTCTTAAAATTCACTATGGTAACTGATTTGAAAATAAACACTGACCAACGGTTTTCTAAGGTGAACTGACAAACAACCTGTTAATAAAAAATAAAAAAAACACTTTAAAGCATCAGTTTGAAACATGGAATACTGGGAGTAAAGTAGAAACCATATTAAACCTTTGAATCACAATCAGTTCAAGCCAGGGTTGCCAAGTTTTTTCCCTACACCAAATATTATTTGTAGTGTATTACTTCCATCCAAAAATCGCAAAGAGTTTTGTGCTTTGTAACTTCTGATAAGAAACAACGTCTCAGCTTTCAAATTCTGTCCATTTTATCATAATATTCAAACAATAAATTTTTTTTGTGATGTTTTTGAGTTTTGATGCTCTTAAATGTGAAGTGACAGATTGCTGTAACGCCGCACAGCGGCGTGGAGCACGAGTAATTTCTTCCACTTTAAGGGGATAGTTCACTTTGAATTTTTTTTGGTATGTTTTAGCTTACCTCAAGGGCATCCAAGATGTAGGTGTCTTTGTTTCCGCAGTAGTTTCAATTTTGATATTTTTAAGTCAAACCGTTCTGGTCTGTCAGTCATATAATGCAGGTCTATGGTCACCACCTCAAAGAGCATGCACAGAGAAGTCCAAATTAAACATGATTTAATGACTCGTAAATGTAAGTACACATTGATGGCCTAAGACACAAAACGAGCGGTTTGTGTGAGAAAACGAACAGTATTTATATCGTTTTTACCTCTTGTAACCACAGCCACGTCCAAGTGATCTGAGGGCGCGGGCGCTTCGGTCTGCGCAAGCGCCGGAAGTGATCTAAATATGGTTGTGAAAAATTCAACGTTGTCTGTTGATATATCGAAATCGTCTTCCATTGCGATTTCCTGTATATCTAAATATGTTTAGATCTTCACAGTGAAAGGTAACACTTCCGAAATCTCTGTGTAAACAATGAGTGACGTACACGCGCGAGAGATCACTTCCGGCGCTTGCGCAGACCGAAGCGCCCGCGCCCTCAGATCCCTTGGTCGTGGCTGTGGTTACAAGAGGTAAAAACGATATAAATACGGTTCGTTTTCTCACACAAACCGCTCGTTTTGTGTCTTAGGCCATCAATGTGTACTTACATTTACGAGTCATTAAATCATGTTTAATTTGGACTTCTCTGTGCATGCTCTTTGAGGTGGTGACCATAGACCTGCATTATATGACTGACAGACAAGAACGGTTTGACCTAAAAATATCAAAATTGAAACTATTGCGGAAACAAAGACACCTACATCTTGGATGCCTTTGAGGTAAGCTAAAACATACCAAAAATTAATTTCAAAGTGAACTATCCCTTTAATACAAGTTATAACACGAAAAAACATGTTTGAACATCAGAAGGTATATTAAAAGATACAGTATAACTTACCAAAATCTGTATCATGTAGGGCTGTTTTCGACTAAGGATTTTCATAGTCGAATCTGATTCGTTAGATTTTGCCGTAGTCGACTGATAGTCGAACCTTTTTTTTTTTTAGATAGCAGCTAGACGTTCGGTTGAATAACTGTCCGTCTGTTATAGGACAACTCGCTCTACGTTTATTTAAAATGAACAGCAAGACAACTAGAAGTGAATGTGCTTTCCATTAAATGAATCCTTAACAAAAAAAAAACGTTGCAATGAACGTGCTTTGTTTTAAATAAATCACACACAGTAAACAAAACCTTAACAAAAAAACTTTGCAATGAACTTTGCAATTTAGACGCGCAAACTGCGAGCCGGTGCGGTGAGACGTAGCCTACATGCTCGGGCAGATTCGGCTTGAAGTCGTTCATCCTCGGATGCGGTGTCGCGCGCGCTGTTACAAAAAAAGCTGTGCACACAGCCAAGAGAAATGGGGTCTTGCCGGTCTTGCGCACCCAACGCGTCATTTTTTGCCGTGCGCACCTTTGCGCTCGTGCGGACGCGTCGAGTATAAACAAGGCTTTACTCCGTGTCAGCGCGCGCTCTGATCGGTAAAGGTGCACAGACCTCTCCCGAATCATCTCCAGCACTCAGCCTCCGACGCACCTCTAACTCCGCCTCCGCTTCCCTCGTAAGATGATATTAGTATTTCAACATTCTCTATGATAAATTTTTTTTGTAAAAAATATTTGAATAGTACGGTTTTGGCGGTTATAGAGTTCTAATGACGGTGTTCAACTATAACCGTCGGTCTCACGGTTATATAATAACCGTCACACCCCTATTGGTTACATAACACTACCCTACTATTCGACTATGAGGTTCACAGTCGAATCAGACCTCTCCGAATCGAATCGTCGAATCCTCGACTATTAGAAGTCAGCCCTAGTATCATGTCTCATTTAATTCTTCAATCTGTGTTTCAACCGTGGAAAGATCTCAATAAAACAGCTTGTGAACAATGTCACTTGATGTTGCATTTACCGCAGGAAAGTTTTCCAATGTTTAGTTTGTTAGTTAGCTATAAAAAAGCACTATAGAGGAGCTTATTTACTGTTTATTATGTTTGTTAAAAAATATGTATGTTTGTTTTGAAATTGTCATTAAGACAAGTGTTTACAAAAACTACACATGCAACTGAGTTGTATGCAAATATTTTGGTATTTATTTGTGTATGATTATTATATCTGAAAATAAATGATTAAAGCAGTTAGCAGAATATAAAAGTTTGGGTTCTGTTGTTAATTTTAACCTCTTATAAAGTAATGTATCAAGTGAGAGGGTTCCCTGTATAGTTTACGCTACACTTGCATTTAGGGGTGCACGATTCAGAAAATGTCACGATTCGATTCGATACCGATTTTTTTGTCTCAAGATTCGATTCAAAATCGATTTTCGATTCAAAAACGATTCTCGATTCAAAAAACGATTCGCCGTATATAAATGTAGTTTACTTTTTCCTATGTGATTGATTGCAGTAGACACAATGTACATGTAGTTTGATATTACTTTAGGCTATATGTCTTCATACAAAAATAAAAACTTTTGCAACTAAAAAGTGCAAAGTGCCAAGCTTTGGCCAGCTTTCAAATACATTCAATTCAAGTTTAAAATAAAACTTACCTAAATAAAAAGCTTTTACATTTAGCTTTAAGTGCTGTAGTCCGATCAAACAAACAATTATAGATATGTGGTTTAAGGACTACTTCAGCTACCAGGTTGACTGTTGAAATGTGAACTCGACTGGACACATTGAACTTCCTAAAAATATATACTAATATCATAGAACCCATGCGAAATTATTTTAAATAGATTTAACAAAAGCCACCGCTACTGGTAACATCTATGGTTAGATTGATTTGTTTAGATCCAGTGCAAGCTGAGCGCTCGTTGCCGCTGCTATGTGTCATGGATACAGTGTTCCAGCCCGATCTCATGAAAGTGCATATCAATACCACGAATGTTATTTCTCGCGCCATTTATACGCCAAAAATAGTTGTTGCGTGTATATGATACGCAGTTTTCGCGTGCATATGATACGCACTTTATGGCGTGTAATACACACGCATCCCCCTCCCCCCTCCCCCTTAATCCTACCCAAGGGGTTTTCAGTGCGTAGCATATACACGCAAAAACCATTTTGGGCGTATAAATGGCACGAGAAATAACATTCGTGGTATTGATACGCACTTTCATGAGACTGCGTGAGTGTTCTCTGTGGCTCGCGACGCAGTCTTCACTCGGACGCGCGCTTCAATCTATCGCCGTTGTGGAGACTCCGGTGAAAATCACAAAATAAAATGCACACAAACGTGATGAACATATTCGGTTTTGATGAGAGAGAGAAAAAACTATACGAGTGCGGTTTAGAACCCGTAACATCTGACACGCTTGGCAAAAGATCTACAGAACTCAAACATAAGATCTTCGGATCGATGCATTTATTTACGGGTTGATCAGAAAGGCTGCACAGTTTGACCAGCGGGCGGCAAGAACTTGCAATGTAACTATTTATCAGACCGGCCCTCGATCGCGGCCTCGAAACACTACCGGACCACCGGTAAAAGTCCCGACTCACCCGATTGCCACTCCGCCCGTGCACGCCATTAAAAAAAAATATATGAATCGATTTTTGGAATTCTATGAATCGATTCTGAATCGGTAAAGATTGAATCGCGATTCAAATGTGAATCGATTTTTTTGCACACCCCTACTTGCATTAGTATTCTACAGCATCCTCCTTGAGAAAATCAAACTGTTGGTATTGGCTGAGAAATTTAGCATTGTTGCATCTCTAGTAGAAAGTCTTTATTTCATTCCCTTTAACATGTATATACCCATTTTTTTTATTTAAGCATTTGAAGGCTTCTTAATTTCATGTATTTTTGGCACAGTTTAATCTTCTTGGTGAGATTTTTAACTTCAGTGAGGATTTTCAAGCTGTGTTAAACAGCCGTTTTAATTCACACTTAAAAGATTGTCACCGAAGATTGTTTTAGAGGTGTTTTTCACGACAACATGTCATAAATGCAAAGTTCCAGTCTATTTTATCTTGATTATCTTGTGACTCTGTTTTAGTTCTTTGTGATGATCTGTTGTTTTCTCCTCTACTCTCATTAGGTTCAATGAACAGACCTCCCGCTCAGAGCTTCGGGAAAAAGCCCATGGCTGCCCCCAACACCCCTGGAGGCAGCTCTAAAGTTGTGCCTATTGCCAGCCTCAATCCATACCAGTCAAAGTCAGTCTAAATTTCACATCCACACTCCTGAACTTCCCTCTTTTCAGTCCAATTGACCTTTGCATATCACATTGTGTTGTGCATAGATCATAAGAGTGCGTTTTCTTTAGGTGGACTGTTAGAGCTCGGGTCACCAACAAGAGTGCCATCCGCACATGGAGTAACTCCAGGGGAGACGGGAAGCTTTTCTCCATGGAGCTAGTGGATGAAAGCGTAAGCATTTATCAGCAGATCAGAAACTTGTAAGAGTATTAATTTGCAATGACATCTCGCTTTGTTTATTATAGGGGGAGATCAGAGCAACTGGGTTTAATAACGAGGTGGATAAATTCTACTCACTCATCGAGCAGGGAAAAGTAAGGCCTACTTCTCAATTGTTAGCTGTTATCAAATAATGTGGGGCTAAGCAATGTAAGGTCGCAACAGCTGTTGATCACGTGACCTGATTTTCTTTCTCTCTTGTTGTCGTCAGGTCTACTACATCTCCAAAGGCACCCTGAAGATTGCTAACAAACAGTTCTCTTCACTTAAGAATGACTATGAGATGACTCTCAATGGAGAGACAAGCATCATCCCTTGTGAGGACAGCCATGATGTCCCCATGCTGCAGTGCGAGTTTATTTCTATTGCTGACCTGGAGTCCCGGGAGAAAGACACCATCGTAGGTGAGCATCTCCCCCTGCCCTGTGCGATTGGCATCATCAATAACCAGCATTTTAATAATTAACTGCTGTGGAGACAGTAGCATGGCTCTGCGTAACAAATGTGTTGAGGCCCAGGAGGTTGTGGTAATTATAACGTTGATGATGAACGCAATATTAATAATGCTTATGACAGTAATGGCCTGTGGCGCAGATTGACTTTGTGTCCCTGTCGGGCTCTAGCAGAACCAGAGGAGAAAGATGCTGTCACTGGTAGACTGAAGAGTCAATAAGCATGCCTCTAATTATGGTAATAGCAGTCAGAGCATGTCTAGGTGCGGCAGGCATTTTTCTTATCCGAGATTTGAGTCAGGTGCTGGCAGTGATTTGTGAAACGCTCCTAATGGCAGCTAAATGATTCATAACGGCGTCTGATGTGAGAGGATTAAGATGGCGCGCTGCAATGGAGCGTTGACGGGTGTTGTGGAATTACATTTTGGATGAGTGTTCCCAATAGCTATTTGCTGTTGGTAAATTTGTGGGAGTAGCAGTGTTGTAAACCTGTGTGGCGCATGTGTTTACAGATGTGATCGGAGTATGTAAAAACACAGAAGATGTGATGCGCATCACAACCAAGAACAGTCGTGAGGTTTCCAAGAGAAACATCCAATTGATGGACATGTCCGGCAGAGTCATCCAGCTCACCATGTGGGGCAATGATGTACGTAATTAATTAATCTTAATAATTTTACATTATTATTCAGTGCCTTCTAGTACAGTAAAATGTCAAATATTCTCAATATAAATTAGGATTTTGTAATAATCAATATTGTGATCTTTTTTTTCCATTACCTTTTATATTTAGTTTTTTGGACCACAAAGTTTCATACGACTGTCAGAATACTGTCAAAAGTGTAAAACCGTATAGATTTTTAATGTTTAATTTTTAAAAGCTAGCCTAATTGCCAAGCTCTACCATATGTATGTATATGGATGACAGATTGCATTGCCTGCACAAAAGTTTGGGGTCGTTTTTGAAAGAAATCTCTTGTTCACCAAAGCTGCATTTAATCCAAAACAGTAAAAAAAAAAAAAAGTAATGCTGTGAAATGTGAGCACAGTTTAACTGTTTTCTATTTTAAATGTTATTCATTCCTGTGATTGCAAAGCTACATTTTCAGCAGTTTTCAGTGTCACATGATCCTGTAGAAATCATTATAATATGCTGATTTGGTGCCCCCCAAAAAAGTTTTTTTTTATTATCAATGCTGAAAACGGTTGTTGCTTAATTTTTTTTTGGAAACTAATATTTTTGTGTTTTTTGAGTAGCAAGTTCAAAACATCAGCATTTATTTCAAGTAAAAAATATTTTGTAACAAAAATGTCTTTACTGAAACTATTGATCAATTCAATTCATCCTTGCTGAATAAAAGTATTAATTTCTTTTTAAAAAAGTATTGGCCGCAGACATTTGAACGGTAGTGTAGGGGTGGGCGCTATACCGGTAGGAACGTGAATACCGGTATTATGTTGTGCCATGATATGGATTTTGCGATACCGAGGATACCGTATTCATAAATTCAAATTTTGCAGTTAAATTGTTTTGTTCAATTTGGTACTCTTTACAACGAACACCAGTGTTTCCCCTACCATTGTTTTGGGGGGGCGGCCCGCCCCCCCAAAACGACCCCCCGCCCCCCCTAAATTGCTGACGAAATCCAGTCATAAAAAAGAAATTTACTGTATAACGCGGAATTTCATGGAATTTGTCAATCTTTTGAGGAATAAATAGAAAGCAGTTCAGTATAACGTTACACTTGAAATCAAATCGCGATGTAGACAAGTGTGTGTGGATATTAAACCACAAAGACAATTTAAATACGAATCCTGCTTGTTCTGTGTGAATGAATGGTGCCGCCGACGCGCAGTTTCATTTACCACACACACACACACACACACACACACACACACACACACACTGAAGCACGTGTGACGCTTGCGCTGTTTTTTTGCCTATATGAAGACACAAATGCATAAACTTCCTCTCTAGGCTCTAGATCCACTCCGAAAGTCACTTCGTGATCATTTCACCGCTTCATTTGAGAAAAACTATCATTATGACAAACACACAAACTCAAAAGGTCTTCACGGCAACCCGTCAAAATAAAAGTTCGGTTTAACTTGACAGAGATATATTACCGTTGTACAGTAGAATTTAGATATGTCCCAATGTAATAATACACTAACACTAATCCAAATAAATTATCATCAAAACTGAATTTAAGGAATAATCCATGTTTTAATTTTAACAGTAAAGCTCATTGTGCAGCACGTTATTTGACAAAAAGTTTATTTAATTTCATATGATTAAAATTGATGATAAATGATAAAATTTGTGTTTTATGTCTTCATTTTATTACCAGAAAAAACACAACACAGAATTAGTGTGAAATTTTTCATATATTTTTTTTTTTAAATGTTGTATACGTTTAATAATTCATAATACACTATTTCAGTTAATTAGACATGCTTTTTGATTGCTAAAAAATTACACCACGTATCCGTAACACGCCCGCTCCGCAACACTAGCAGTGTTAGCCCCCCCCCCTGAAAAAAAATCCTAGGGGAAACACTGAACACTAATGACGATACAGAATCGAATGCGCTGTTTAAGGAAATGACTGATTTGGCGCTTCATACGCGTGAAGTTGCTGAGGCGATTAACCGCTGTCCTGTGACGCGTTCAATGAAGGACCGTTTAACGTCGGACACATCGCTAGTGCTAAGCGGCTGTTCATAAAGGATGGATGCATCTTTTGCGGTGGAATGGGAAACAACAAGGTAATGAGACGCAAGTTTGACTTTTAACTTGAGCGCAGCATTTTTAGAATGCCATTTCATTTGCGAGATGCGGGTGCAACGCCAAAACAAGTTCGTCAAGCACAAAAAAAACATTAAAGTTCTAGGCTACTTTATGTTTGAGACGTCATGTTTTCATGAAGGTTGAAAGCTGCTATTATTATCTTTGACTTTGTTTTTACAAAACATTTACTGCTAATACTATTATCCACGTGACATTTCCCCAATGTAACGTTAGGCTATGAATAACAGGACACGACACACACATAAGCACGCGCATACACACGACACACACATAAGCGCGCGCATACACACACACACTGGTCCACTATCTGTGTGGGGACTCTCCATAGACGTAATGGGGTTTATACTGTACAAACTGTAGGCCTTTATTCTGTCTCCTTACACTAATGAATTAGTTTGTATGAAAATGTTCATTGTTTTTTTCTTGTATACTTTTAAGTTCTATTTATTTGGTGCTTTGTTCAATCTCAAACCATTATTTTATTTTTATTATTAAGATGTCTGCACAAGAGTTAACTGTAATCTGTGCAAACATTAAACTTAAATGAAACGTTTCGCTTTGGTCTACACTGGAAGTGTTCTGCTCGCTCTGCTAAAGCTAAACTATTATTACTAAAACTGAAACTAAATAATAAAAAAAAAACTATATAGAAATGTGTTTGCAAAATAAAAACTAACAAAACCATTAATGAAACTAGCTAAAACTAAACTGAAATTTAAAGCAAAATTGAAAACGATATTAAAATAAAAACTAATTTAAAAAAGCAAAACTATAACAACAGATATTCCCGGAGACAGAGCACACTTGAAGACGGCTCTTACTCAGAAATCAATAAAGTCTTCATTCGCTGCCGGTTCTTATTATGACAAGACGAGCAAAAAGTGGAAAGACATAACAAGTGCATTCAGGCCTACCTTATGTTGCACGTTTGCACTTTTTGAGAAAAAAAAATGGCACAATAAAAAAAAACACATTTCAGGTCTATGTCCAATGAAATGCCTCACCTTTTTCTAGTTATGTAGTGTTAAAATACATATTTTGCCTGCAATTTAACTAAGGTGTACTAAAATGTGATTCCAATTTTTTTTCTCATATCGCGATATAATATCGATATCGTCCGGACAGTGAAAAATATCGTGATATTAATTTTTGCTCATATCGCCCACCCCTACGGTAGTGTGACGGTAGCTGACTGGAATCCTCAAAACACTGAGGATCTTGTACCAGATGAGGTTCTCGAGCATTGGGAGAAAAACTTCCTCCTTCCATTACATTTGCCAGATTTCAGCTTCTATTTCGCATTTCAGCTATTCACATCTCATCAGGATTTGCCATGAAAGACCAAATGCATAAAATCACAATTAGATGGCAAATCCTTATGGATCTTTTGATGCACTGTTGCTAGCAAGTAAAAGATGTTTACACCGTAGAAGGAATATATGCACTTTTTCAGTGCTGAACTATTCGCATTTTATTTCCTCGCTCTGCAGGCAGAGACATTTGATGGCAGTGGGCAGCCAATCATGGCCATTAAGGGGGCAAGATTATCTGACTTTGGTGGGCGTTCTCTCTCAACTCTCTACAGCAGCACAGTCATGATCAACCCCGATATTCCTGAGGCATACAAACTGCGGGGCTGGTGAGTGTTTTTTTTCTTCTTTTTTTCTCTCTGTTTCTCTCAAATCGTACAATACAGAATATACGCTGCATCTGTTGTTAAGTGTTTGTCTTAGATGAAACAGATGCGTTTTGATGCTCCCCTGTTTTTATTTCTCCACTTGTGAGAATTGGGACGAGCAGAGAGCAGACACTAAAATGCACACTCCAGAACTCAGAGAGGGTGAGCATGCTCATGCCTTTGATATCAAGATTAACTCTATCAGTGGCACTCTGGTGGGCTTTGCATTCAGGCTGATAAACGAATGCAAATTATGGCTAATCCCCTGCCAAGATGTTCAATTTCCTTGGTGAACTCGTGTGACTCGGGTCCTTTGAGAACAGGAATGTTTATTTCTGCTCTGGGGATGTGAAACAAGGAAGATGGGGAAACGACGGCGCCGAATGCCTTGTTGAGAGATGATGTTATAAATGCGTGCATACAAGGAAGCAGCAATGAGTATATGATGGCTTCCTGTGTTTTTGGAGCACAGGGGCTGTCCTAATCATAGATTCTTATTGGCTATTGAAGGAATTAAAAAACTGTTATGACTCAATAACTCTTGTTTTCTTCTGCTTTCTCATGCCAATTTAGGTTTGTGTTGGGGCTGCCAAATTTATAATTAATAAATTATGCGTCTTAAAATATCTCGAATAGACCTGTCACAGTTATTACATAATCACCAGATTGTGATGATTTGAGTAAGCCACAATCATTGTGCACTATCAGTGGCAAACATAAATTGTCATCTAAATATTGAAATCCATGTAATAATTTGCTTTTCCCTTTGCAGTGGTTTTATGTGAATTCAGCGGATGAACTGGGATCATCTCTGTTTTTACAGCTCCACTTTTAAATATAAACTAGGTAGAAGTGTAATATTTTAACTAGGTAGTTAATTTTAACTGTTTGTATAATAATTTATTTCCTGCAAATAGTAATTTAATGTTGTTTTAACTCTTTAGGCGCCAGAGGTTTTTTCCTAAAACGTTCGATTTTGACTAGGGATGCACCGAAATGAAAATTCTTGGCCGAAACCAAGGCCGAAAACCGAAACACTGAAATAAATTATGCCAATTATTAGTACCATTGCATTAATGGCTATGACTGTGTACTAACTTGACTAAAATCAAGGCATTGCAATTATATAAATTAATATTAAAGTTTCAAAGAATAAATCAATAACAAATTATGCAAATATTTATTTACCACATTGCAACTATGCACAGTATAAAATAAAATTCAAACTAAAATGTTTAACTTGACCCAACTCATGTGTACATTAAATAATAATGTAAACTGGCATGCTGGCCTGACGAAAAGTTTTAAAATGAAATGTTCTCTCATAAAAACAAAGTACATTTAAATTGTTTCTCTGTAGGACTACTACAAGAAAGTGCATTCAGAACAAATGCAACTGCTTAAAGATACAACAATATTTTCTCTGTAGGCCTTCAACGTAATAGTGTATCAAAACAAAGATTGCCATAGCCCATATTTTATCTGCAGATGTGCAAAGTGGATAATAAATATTTAAAGACTAGACAAGCCCATTCTACTTTTTGAGGTAAAGTGGCAGGTTTCTCTTGATGAAGAGTAGCTTCTCTGCTTTATTAATTAAATAGAATTTTTCAACTTGGGCGTCAGACGCGAATTCGCATCAAACGCGTGAATGCACCAAATAAAATCATTCGCGCGTAACACGTCAGACGCTCAATTCGCGGGACTTCAGGGTTTCCGTGTTCCGGTAATTACCGGACATTGGCCGGGAAAAAAATGAAATGTCCCACAAAATTAAATCTCTCCGGTCAAATTGTCCGATTAAAATGGCCTAATAATCCCGCCCCCCTAACACAATCTGAATTTGAGAATAAGCCTACAATGTATAAAGCAAAAATACACCGACCGATCAGAAGGATTATTTGCCATTTTACAGGCATTGAGTCTGCGGACACCACTCCTCTTATCGATGCCGTGAGCCTGCGACGTGATGCCCTCGCTGTCATGACAGCGCTCCGTGGCTATGGAGGATTGCATTTCTCCACAGCCTGCGAAGTCCACATATGTGATTTCATTGAAATGTTTCCAGTAGGGATGCTCATTTCGGTTAATTTTCCAGACCGACAACCGCCGCTCGTTAATCGATTATTAACCGTTAACTGATAAGATTATAATATTGGATTGGCATTAAATAAAAAATAAAATTGACGCGTATCTGTGACCCGTTAAAAATACAAATATATATATATATATATATATATATATATATATATATATATATATATATATATACACAGGTCCTTCTCAAAAAATTAGCATATTGTGATAAAGTTAATTATTTTCCATAATGTAATGATAAAAATTAAAGCTCCAGTCCGTAACTTTTTTAAGTTAAAAATAATCCAAAATAATTATATTAAAAAAAACTTATTCTGCCAGTGGTCAAAACTATCTGCTTGCCATAGCTAGATTCAAAACGGTTAGCTTGTAATAATGATTTTAATTCCAGTGGTACTGGTGGGTTTCCGCGGGAAATTCGAGCATGTCTTTGCGTCATGACGTCACACCCGTACACATAAAGAAGGAGTTTCGGCTAGCCGGCTATACTGCGCGTGACGAGATGTTTAGATGTATAGGCTTTTCTCGCAGCACTTTACATAATTAAACTTATGGCATCCAGAAAGATCCAAACAACAATCATCAGTGTCAACTGGAGATTCAGCAGTTATAAAACCCAAAAGACTTCGTACTTCGGATTTAAGGTGGCTAGAGAAAGAAACCGTCTCATGCGAACACAAGGATTTAAACATCGGCGGGGGTTTTGAAAAGTGCGTGAACTCCGTGTTTTGAAGGGGTTCAAAACGGAAGAAGAGACGGCTTTTTTCTGCTGAACAAGTAAGACATTTCAATAGTTCAATCGTGTAACAGTACGTTTTCTTAATTCACACATTTATGGAGTTTCCTTTGTTGTGCCTTTCTCGTTTTGCTATTATGGAGAATATGAATTCTGAACTACGCAGGTAACCATAAAACACATTAAATTTAACATTAGTCACGCAATGCTGATGTTGTTAACATGAACAATTTGAGAACAAAGTAGGCTATAATTTGCACGGTTGCTGTAAATCATGTTGATTAAATCTAACGAAGCTTATGTCGAATGCTTTTTCCCCCTTAGTTGGTCAGAAAAAAAATGGATTTTACTTACTTGTTCAGAAGACATTTTCTTATGAAAATTCTTATGTTGGTCAAACTTTCAAAAAGTGAATCTGTGATTCTGTATGCCAGTATCCACACAGCGCGGTGACTGACAGCAGCACTCGCCTCAAAGCACTGTGTTCATCCGCGCTGTTTCATGCCGATTTACAACCCACGTAAAGATAATAATTCCGCGAATCACTGCAGTTACAGATTTCGAACAGAGAGATGGCGACAAAGAGGAAAAGTTCCGGACTGCAGCTTTAAACTTTCATATATTTTAGATTCATTGCACACCAACTGAAATATTTCAGGTCTTTTATTGTTTTAATACTGATGATTTTGGCATACAGCTCATGAAAACCCAAAATTCCTATCTCAAAAAATTAGCATATTTCATCCGACCAATAAAAGAAGTGTTTTTAATACAAAAAAAGTCAACAAAAAAAGTCAACCTTCAAATAATTATGTTCAGTTATGCACTCAATACTTGTTCGGGAATCCTTTTGCAGAAATGACTGCTTCAATGCGGCGTGGCATGGAGGCAATCAGCCTGTGGCACTGCTGAGGTGTTATGGAGGCCCAGGATGCTTCGATAGCGGCCTTAAGCTCATCCAGAGTGTTGGGTCTTGCGTCTCTCAACTTTCTCTTCACAATATCCCACAGATTCTCTATGGGGTTCAGGTCAGGAGAGTTGGCAGGCCAATTGAGCACAGTAATACCATGGTCAGTAAACCATTTACCAGTGGTTTTGGCACTGTGAGCAGGTGCCAGGTCGTGCTGAAAAATGAAATCTTCATCTCCATAAAGCTTTTCAGCAGATGGAAGCATGAAGTGCTCCAAAATCTCCTGATAGCTAGCTGCATTGACCCTGCCCTTGATAAAACACAGTGGACCAACACCAGCAGCTGACATGGCACCTCAGACTATCACTGACTGTGGGTACTTGACACTGGACTTCAGGCATTTTGGCATTTCCTTCTCCCCAGTCTTCCTCCAGACTCTGGCACCTTGATTTCCGAATGACATGCAAAACTGAGCAACAGTCCAGTGCTGCTTCTCTGTAGCCCAGGTCAGGCGCTTCTGCCGCTGTTTCTGGTTCAAAAGTGGCTTGACCTGGGGAATGCGGCACCTGTAGCCCATTTCCTGCACACGCCTGTGCACGGTGGCTCTGGATGTTTCTACTCCAGACTCAGTCCACTGCTTCCGCAGGTCCCCCAAGGTCTGGAATCGGTCCTTCTCCACAATCTTCCTCAGGGTCCGTTCACCTCTTCTCGTTGTGCAGCGTTTTTTGCCACACTTTTTCCTTCCCACAGACTTCCCACTGAGGTGCCTTGATACAGCACTCTGGGAACAGCCTATTTGTTCAGAAATTTCTTTCTGTCTTACCCTCTTGCTTGAGGGTGTCAATGATGGCCTTCTGGACAGCAGTCAGGTCGGCAGTCTTACCCATGATTGAGGTTTTGAGTAATGAAACAGGCTGGGAGTTTTTAAAAGCCTCAGGAATCTTTTACAGGTGTTTAGAGTTAATTAGTTGATTCAGATGATTAGGTTAATAGCTCATTTAGAGACCCTTTTCATGATATGCTAATTTTTTTAGATAGGAATTTCGGGTTTTCATGAGCTGTATGCCAAAATCATCAGTATTAAAACAAAAGACCTGAAATATTTCAGTTGGTGTGCAATGAATCTAAAATATATGAAAGTTTAATTTTTATCATTACATTATGGAAAATAATGAACTTTATCACAATATGCTAATTTTTTGAGAAGGACCTGTATAT